TTCTATTCCCCTGATACCCCAGTTATGTGCCCCCTTATACCCCCCCTTATACCGGGTTTAGGGGTCAGGGTCTTTTTGGGTTTAGGGTTTGAGGGCTTCGGGGTTCAGGGCCGCAGACTCTTGACCCGTGGGTTCTGGCGGGGAGGCGCGGAGCCAGAAAGCCCGCGTTAGTTGGTTTTAGGTGGGCTTTCAGGGTTTCTAGAAAAATCTACGGGGCTGTAGGGGGGTTAATCGGCTTCAAGGGGGTTTAGGCATGTTGGGGAGTTTACAGGTTTGAGAGGTGGTTTGTAGGTTTTAGAGGCTTTAGACTCAGTGGGCTGAGGCCGAAAGCCCTACAGACGCATTGGAAAAAATCCTATGCCTCGTAAAGCCTATGAACCTTATATGGTTTAGGGTTTAAAGTTTAGTGTTTAGGGATATAGACCGTAGAAGCCCTGTAAAGTCAAAAAAACTCAGCTAAACTTCTATGACCCCCATCAACCCTGCAAACCCTACTGATCGTACACCTTAAGCCATGGTTTACCCCAAACTGCATAAACCCCAGACCCTAAACCCAAGACCGTACACCCTAAATCCTAAACCCTAAACCCCAAACCCTAAGCCCTAAACCCTAAACCCTGAACCCTAAACCTAAACCCTAAACCCTAAAGCCGAAAAAATAAACCCCGCATCTTGAGTTCAGCCACAGGCTTCGGCGCTCCAGCCGACTGCGGTTTCCTTCGCGGCGGTGATCGCCAGTTGCCCCGGAGGCGTGGCCCAAGAATGCCGGGATAAACCCTAAACCCTAAACCCTAAACCCTAAACCCTCAACCCTAAACCCTAAACCTAAACCCTACACCCTAAACCCTAAACCCTAAACCCTAAACCTTAAACCCTAAACCCTAAACCCTAAAACTTAAACCCTAATTCAACCCTAAACCCTAAACCCCCAAATCTCTAGACTCCGGAAACCCAGAACCTCCTAACCCTGAGGGTCGCAAGCTTCGATATTTAAATAGCCCTAAACCTCCACCCTGAAGCCCCCCAAGCCTCTGAAGCCCCAGAAGCCTCAATTACTCAAAGCCCCAATGAAGCTGCAGATCTCCAGTTCAAGAAGAAGGGAACGTTGAAAGCCTTCCCGGCAATCCCAAGGAACAAGAAAACCTAAGACATGAGCAAGCAAACCGAGGTGTCTTTCGTTCAGTCAGTCTGAAGCGTCCGTTCCGCACGCCACCCTAAGTGCAAGACAGTCAGTCGGCAAGAGCTTTCAGAAAACCCACGACTGCAAAAGGCAAAAGGCCCAGAAGAAAGCCTGAGCTGAAAAGGCGAATGGGCAAGGGCTCTGGCGCTGCTGGCAGAGATGGTCGTGGCGCAGGCAAGGTTTTCTGAGTGGGAGCCCGAAGAACCCCGAAAAGCCCTGAACAGTTAAGTGGTGTTTGAGTTCCCTGAGCCCTGAGAAGGCCCTAAACCCGAAACGGAAAGAAATTCCAGAGTTGTCCAAGAACCCCAAAAAATGCAGAGTTTCTGTGAGCAGGTTTTGGGTTGTCAGCCCCTTTCGGGTTTAGGTTTTAGGGTGTCCCCAGGACCCCGAAAGAGTTGCTTCTGCACATGGTTACTGATCTTTCCCCCTTTGTATGCTCATCCCTAACATCGTCCCTAGAATTGGAATCCAGCAGGCCCCCTCATTAGGTGGTTGGGGCTTCGGTCGTGGATGGTGCGCTGGACGCGCCTAAGTACTGCTACAAGGACTCCAAACCCTACAGGTTAGCATTTAGGGGTTCTTAAGGCTTTACGTCTTTAGGGTTTTAGGAGTTTGGGGTGTATTCCTGTCTAGAAGGTGTGAGGGGGCACGGTCTTCGGGTCCTCTGCCACAACCCCTTTGCTTGTATATTCAACTTCTGTACATGCTCGTCTCAAGCCGTGTCTATCTTTGCAAATGCGGGGGGTGGGGGGGGGAGCCCAGCCCCCCGCTCTGTGAAGCTGTACGTGCCTGAAGCCGAAACGAACACCGGTGCCTGCCAAAGCATGAGTCTTTGAGTTGCAAGCTTCCGACCATCCTTCTAGACGACCGGGCTCCCCATGCTAGGCAGCAGTGATAATTCATGCGCCCGCCTCTTGGGCCCAGGCAAGATCACTAGCGAGCCACACCTCTTGAAAGTTGGTGAGCAACACCGCAAAAAAGGGTTTAAGGGTTTGCTTCCGCACGCCCCCGGTCCCGAAACCCTACCTTGAGAACCCCCAAAGCCCATATTTTGAGGGTTTCTTTGAGAATCCCATAGTGGGTAAGTTCAACAAAAAGCCTCCGTGCAAGCAGATGTTTGGTGTGTTGCAGGAGCCTGGGGGTTCAGGGTCACCTGCAAGCAGGGAAAAGCCTGCGACTCAATCGTCCCAGGCCGCCAGCACCCTGGCTTACGCGGCCATCATCGAAGCTTGCGCGGGGGAGGAGCGCTGGCTGCAAGCCGGCCCCTCAGTCGAGTTTAGGGTTTAGAAAACTCTAAACCCTAAAACCTAAACCCTAAACCCTAACTGTGGAAGACAGTTGCAGCTATCAATGTCGTCCATGACGGCCCAATGAACCTTCAGGCAAGCCGAGGCTTCACATGAAAACTTGGGCATGGTTGAGGGTTTAGGGTTTAGGGTTCCGGGGCGCCGAAGGCCATGAATGCTGAAAAGTCATTGCTGCCATGAACGTGCCCTTCGGCACACTTTCCCGAAGCGCGAGTCTAAAAAGTGCACATGCTGGACCGAGATCAAGCTCCAAGCGGAAAGAACCCAAAACCCCAAATCCAAAACCCTAAAGGCCCTAAACCCTAAACCCTAAACCCTAAACCCTAAACCTTAAACCCTAAACCCTAAACCCTAAACCCGGAACCGTTGCCCAGCAGCGACCCTCCCAATCGGTGGTTTCTCTTGCTCCATTACATCGTCCAGTGGGTGCCGACGAGCTCTGGTAGGGGTTTGGGCTCTTTAGGGCTTGGGGTTTTGGGAGCCCCACAAGATTGCCACCCCCGTTTGCGGCAAGATAAGCCTCGATAGGTATGTAGTCAAGAGGCCTCCAACGCTATGTTTCTGATGTGGCGCATGTGGCACTGATGATTGTGCAAGAAAGCAAGGCTTTCTGGACAAAGAAAAACCATGCGCGATCCCTGCTGTGCCCCCCTCCCGAGTCCGGCTTGCCTGTCTCGGGTGCGGAAGGTGATGGTGCTTCCCACCCTCGATCTGTCGCGACTACGTCTCGCGTCCGCTGAGGTGTGTTTGGGGCAGGGGACCATCCCCTCTGCGCACCGCAAATGAAGGATGTGCTGCTGCCCTTTGCCCCACTACCATCTGTCCGTGTGGGGCCGACAAGTGTCCCTCTCTGACGATTTGTGGGTGCTGGGTCAGGGCAGCAACACCACCACCACCGCCACCACCGCCACCACCACCACCGCCACCGCCACCACCACCGCCACCACCACCACCACCACCACCACCACCACCACCACCACCACCACCACCACCACCACCCAAACCCTAAATCCTGCACCTAGACCCCAAACCCTAAACCTTTGTCATAGTGGAGTCACATTTTGCATCTTTAAGGGTACTTAAACTCAATTAGGAAAAACAACTTGAACTTTTAATACTATCCTAAACCCGAAACCCTAAACCCTGGCGCTGCTCCCGTCCCGAGGTGAATGCTCTCTTGCCCGAGATGGCTGCCAGACTGCTTGGTGCGTCGAAACGGATCCTGGGTGTTGGATTCAGGGTTCAAGGTTTTTACGGTTTGAGTATGGAAAAGGGGGTCGTAAAAGCTTGGAGAACGCGTTGCGGTCAGACGCAGCGTCGTAGGTTGCAATGGATGAAGGTGCCGGCCTGTCGCAGACCCAGCATTCTCAAATCTTGGGGCCTGTGAGACTGTGAGCTTGCCAATTGCATCATGACAAGTCGCCACTGGCTCTTATGCTATGTGGTTGTGCGCTGAAACACCGGATGTAAACTCAAGAAGTCGGCGGTGGTTTCTTATGACCACATCCATGCAAGGTGGGGGTTTTGGGGATCTTCTCTCTATTTTTCCCCTTATAGGGTTTGCAGAGGATCCTATTCGTACTCGGTGCCCCCGCTTGCCATCCCGCGCTCTAGGCAGAAGGCCCCGGATGTTCAGGGCCCAGGGTTGTAAGGGGGCGGCTGCTGCTGCTGCTACTACTATTACTACTACTACTACTACTACTACTACTACTACTACTGCTGCTGCTACTACTACTACTACTACTACTACTACTACTAGTACTACTACTACTACTACTGCTACTACTACTACTACTACTACTACTACTACTACTACTAGTACGACGACGACGACTACTACTACGACTACGACTACGACTACTACTACTACTACTGCTGCTACTACTACTACTGCTGCTGCTGCTACTACTACTACTACTACTGCTACTACTACTACTACTACTACTACTACTACTACTACTACTGTAGGGCAGCGGGGGGCGATGTCAGATGCGCGTTCCACGCGTGCCTGCGGTGTTGCTGGCGTGGAGCTGCTGCTGCAGTGCTGTGGAGGAGGTGCCGCATGTCCTCAGCCACTCGAAGCCAACTTCAAGAAAGCTGGGTTTAGGGTTTAGGGTTTACGGTTTAGGGTTTAGGGTTTAGGGTGGACATTTCGGGCGTCGAGGGCTTCAGGAAGCTTCAGGGGTGCAGCCTGGGATTGCGAGCTGGCTCAGGCTTTCTTGGGCTCAAAGGTTTAGGGTGTGGGGGTTTGGGTTCGGATCCTCGAAGTTCCTAAGCCACCCTAAGGCCGAAACCCTGAACTCCACAGCCCTTGGGGCTGCCTTCCCAAGTTACAACCATGTTAGGGCACTTAAGGGGCTGATCAGTGGGTTATCAGTACAGTTATAACTGATGTTAGGGCCCTTTAGGGGCCTTTGAGTGGCTTATAAATGCAGTGAATTTGGGCTAGTTAATAAGTACCCTGAACCTCCAGCATACCTCCTCTGAACCTGAAGTGGATCCCCCAATTGCAGTCCCCTTGGCGTCCCAGGCGCGCACGCATGCTGCGAGCTCTGCTATGCAAAGACCAGTGCTGGCCTGAGTCCGGGGTGGTGGGGGGTGGGGTTCAGGGTTAAACCCTAAACCCTAAACCCTAAACCCTAAACCCTAAACCCTAAACCCTAAACCCGAAACCCGAAACCCGAAACCCTAAACCCCAGACCCTAGACCCTGAACCCCAAACCGCATTTCTAAACCCTAAGCCCTAAACCCCGAGGCCGAAACCCCCAAGCCCAAGCCCCCAAACTGGCAGCTGAAACCTGAAGACCTCAAGGCCTAAACCCTCAACCCTAACCCATAAACCCTAAACCCTAAACCCTATACCGTATGCCCTATGCCCTAAACAAGTGAAACCTGAAGACCTCAAGCCTCAGAGCTCCAAGGCTGTGAGGCGGCGATCTACCAGCGTGCCCGGCAGCACCTGGACCGCTTGGCTCGGGAGTTGGGCATGGGTTCTTCGGTTTTCGGCCGCGTTTTGCTGGATGATGTAGGGTCTGCGGGAATGAGGGTTTAGGGGTTTCGGTTTCTGAAGGTTGAGAGTTTCAGGGGCTATTTTACTCTATACTGTGGCCCCTCAGCCCGATGAACACCCTGCGCCGTTCCTGCACGTTGGGTTGTTCGTTGGTGCCCTTGGCTCTTGCGGGTCAAATCCTAAACCCTGACCCGAAACCCTAAATCCTAAACCCTAAACCCTAAACCCTACACCCTAAACCCTAAACCTCAAACCCTAATCCCTAAACCGTAAACCCCAAAGCCCCACAAGCCCCAAAAGCCCCAAAAGCCCTCAGACCCAGAGCCCTCCTCCAAGGCAGTGTCTGCTGGGCGGGCGGCGGCTGCCCAGTTCGCAAGGTACAGGTTTTTGGAGGGTTTAGGGTTCAGGGTTTAGGGTTTAGGGTTTAGTGTTTGAGGGCTTAGGGTTTAGGGTTTAGGGTTCAGGGTTCAGGGTTCAGGGTTTAGGGGCTTCAAAACTGTCAGGGTTTAGGGTGGCTTAGTTTTGCTTTTGGCCTGGGCATCTCGTGTTTTGTCGGCGTCGTTTCTTGTTCAGTTGTGTGACCTGGTTGCTCTGCTGGCTCTGCTTCGGGCTTCGGATTCAGGGTGCAGACTTTCAGGTTATTGGAGATTACGGGCGCTCTGCTTTTTCGACCCCCCCCCCCCTCCCCCTGCACCAGGAAACCCAGCTCTTGCCCCAATCTCAAACCCTTACACCCGAAACCCGAAACCCCCAAACCTTAGACCCCAGACCTTGGACCCTAAACTCCAAACCCCAAACCCTAAACGTCAGACCCCAAACCCCAAACGTCAGACCCCAAACCTTAGACCCTAAAACCCTCATCCAATCCTGAACCCTACGGTCGAAGCCCCTGAACCCTCGCCCTCTGTAACTTGAACTTGCTCTGAAGTTAGAGAAGAGAAGGTCTTCGACGTTTCCTTGGACCTGAGCCCTTATCAATACCCTTAAACCTTCAACCCTCGACCCTAAATCCCCCTAAACCTCCCCTAAACCTCCTAAATCCCCCTAAACCCCCCTAAACCCCCCTAAACCCCCCTAAACCCCCCTAAACCCCCCTAAACCCCCCTAACCCCCAAACCCCAAACCCTAAACCCTAGACCCTAAACCCCAAACCCTAAAGAGCTTCGAGCGAAGAGGCACCACGGTCTTGGCCTGCATACCTCGGGGTCGGGCCTTCCCCGCCTGCTCCCTGGAGCAAGGCTCCCTGAGTCCTGGAAAAAGGGGGTGTTTAATGGGTTTTCAGAGGTTTTTCTCAAGGCCTTTTTTTCAAGAGGTTTTTACGAGGTTTCTTGGATGCTTTCAGAGACGTTTAGAGGCTTTTCGAGGAGACCTTCAAAGGGGGGCTCGTTAGAGGCTTCTAGGCTTCAGGGGAGAGGGTTCTGGCAGGCGTTGAGAGGAGACTTTCGTAGGTTTCTAGAGGCTTTCAGAGGATTTCAGAGGTTCTTAGAGGCTGCAGAGTTGCCTTGGTTATGTCTGTCGGGTTGAGAGGCTTGTTAGGCTTGTTTAAACAGCTTGTTTTTAGGGTGGGATAGGTTGTATAGGGTTTACGGGGCTTATAGGCGTTCATAGGCTTGAGGGTTCAGGGTCTAAGGTTTAGGGGTCTAGTATTGTGCTGTGGCGGGCCCTGCGCCGAACATCTCCCGAACCCTCAAGCCTTGAGCCACAGGACCCCAAAGCCCTTTCAATTCTGAGCCGCAAGCTCGAGACTCGTCTGTCAGTTCCATCCGCCGGGCCCTTTGCTGCCCGAAGCCCTGCACCCCAAACCCCAACCCTAATACCCCTTAACCCGAACCCCTTGACCCTAAACCCAAGAAAGCCTAACCCCTCAACGCCAAACCGCGACACCGGAGGCGCAGCTTTTGGGCTTTTCGGGGTCTGAACTGCAGGGCATGCGATTCAGGGTTTAGGGTTCGGCTTGAAGAAAAGGTTTGTTAGCGAGCTATTTGAGCTCCGAGCCCCTGAACACCCCTAAACTCCTACTAAGCTGCAGCCGAGTGTTCGTTGGTCGAGCAAGAATGGAGAGCCAGAAAATCAGTGCAGCATTCCGAAGCCTAGTCGTCACATGTAGAGAGCAACCCTGCAGTCCTCTGCAGTAGGGAGCCCAAACCCGCAGAAGAAGAAGACCCCGGAAACCCACTACTTGGAGCTTCAGGGTACTTCTAACCCCAATGAAAACTGCGCTTACAAGACCCCGAAGTCCTCTAAGTAGGTTGCAAGTAGACTTGTAATATGAGTACCCATGAACCTCCAAAGTAGACCTCCAAACTTGAGAAGGCTTGGACTATGAGTCCACGGGTGGCCTGACTCTCCAGCGCTGGGGCCTTTAGCCGGGACTTCGGAGTGGAGTTTTACGACAGGGGTCGGAATAATGACCAATGTTTTTCCCTTATGGTCCCTGTATATTCATACCCCCAAAGCTCTATTCCAATTATTAAAGCCCCTATATTAGGCAAGTGCCCAGGGTTTAGACCTTAAAGGTTTAGGGTTTAGGCTTGATGTGGAATTCACATTTATGTTGTATGGGTGCCAAGATTCGTATAACCCGAGGTAGTCCTGCATACGCCATAGATCATTCCTTGTCATAGGGCCTTGGCATCCACCCAAGTTAGGGATTCTGGGTGTGGGGCAGGATCCCGGATTGATTCGGGACCAGTCCGTACGTCTGCCGGACTGGATCCTTCTGACTGGCGG